GGACAGACATAGAAAGATTGCATTCGTCTGGGGAACATAAAGTAACAAAATAGGAGACCAACACCCAAGAGTGGCTGAGATTGGTACCAGGAATTTTGCTCCATGGCTTGGAGGCCAGCCACACATGCTAGGGGAAAAGGCAACTCAGATAGAGAAGGGAGCACCAAGTAAAGGATGTTGGGAGGATCCTCCCAGGGTGGGAGAAGCATGCTGAAAGTAGACTCTAGACCGAACATGATTGCCACCCATTGCCTCTTTTGCAAACCACTGCACCCAATAAGAGAGAGAGAACAGAAGGAAATTCCCTGCCACAGAGGCAGGGTGGGATGGGGGAATGGGGGTGGGAGGGATACTGGGATCCGTGGTGGTGGGAAATGGGCCCTGGTGGAGGGATGGGTACTCGATCATTGTATAACTGAAACCCAAGCACAAAAATTTGCAAGTCTACAACTGTACCTCATGGTGTTTCACTAATAAAAATAAAAAAATAAATAAATAAAAGTACAAAATATAACAGAGAATATCAACAGTTATATGTAGGTAGTCATTCAATTTTCTTTTCTATTTACTATATTGTTTGTATTTCTAGTATATAAATTAGACTGTATTACTTTTATAATCAACTAAACTAAATCAACTAAACTGTTTTACCTTTTATGAAAATTTGTTTCAATATTTCCATTCCCCAAATATTCTACTGAAATGATTTTGAAGTATATTATTAAAGAAATTTATGAATAAGCATCAAAAAAATTTGTAAGTCTACAACTGTACCTCATGGTGTTTCACTAATAAAAATTAAATAAAAAAATAGTTGATGCTTTGGTATCACAAAGGCTATAAAATACAGTTAATGCACTATTTAAGCGTGTATGTGTGTGTGTATATATATAGAGAGAGAGAGAGGGAGAGAGCATCTTATGTCATTTTATTCTATGCGGCTACTTTTATAAAAAACAAAGAAAGAAAAATAAAGACAGAAAAAAAAATCTAGCGTCCCCAGCACTCAATTCTTTTCTTCCTGCCCCCAACCCGGTTGCCGGTCACTCAGGAAACAGTGAAACAGAGACCAGGACGCCGAGGCAGGTGACTGGGGGCCGGCGTGGAATTGGAGCACGAGTGATCTCTGTCAAAGGTGACCAGGACCAAACTGTGGGCTCCCGTCCATGGTCAGCTGCCCACACACACACCCAATACTTTCAGGACGAGCCTCAGTGGCTTTGGGGCAGCACAAGATTCCAAGTCAAGGGGCCGGAGAGATAATACAGTGGGTAGGAGTTTGCCGTGCACACGGCGGATTCAGGTTCAATCCCCGGCATCCCATAGGGTCCCCCGAGCACCGCCAAGAGTAATTCCTGAGTGCAGAGCCAGGAGTAACCCCTGAGCATCGCTGGGTGTGACCAAAAAAGCAAAATAGATAGATAGATAGATAGATTCCAAGTCAAGACTTTTTTTTCTTGGGGACTTGGGAGGGCACTGGCCTGGCTCGTGGCCGACCCAGGTTCGATCCCCGGCATCCCAAAGGGTCCCCTGAGCACAGCCAGGAATGATTCCTGAGTGCAGAGCCAGGAGTCAGCCCTGAGCATCGCCGGGTGTGGCCCCCCAAAAAGGAAAAATAAATAAAGACTTTCCTTTCTCTGTTACTGAAGGAAAATTCCCCCACTGCCCAGAGATACCTGGGTTTGCCGCACACCGGTGAGACGCAGAACGTTTAATAAAGGAAGCACACACCGAAGTCCAAGTAGAAGGGTGTCTACTCTCTAAAAATATCACCCCTGGGAAAGACGGGGTTACAAAATCAAATATGTGTGTGTGCACACACACACACACACGTTCACACACATGAACGGTTGTTTATTAAAAAGTCATTTCCATACTTTGAATGGAGAAACTTTTATGGCACCCAAAGCAAAAATAAATATAGTCGGTCCTGGGCCTCTTTGGTGCTATTTTCAGTTAACCCACTGCATGATATAATTAGGAATATTTATACGAAAACAAGACACAAAGACGTAAGTGGTCTGAGCTGTTCAATTCAAGAGTATCTAAAAAAAAAAAATGCCCGAGTCATCCTTCCAACTAATCCTTTTTTTTTTTTTTTTTTTTTTTGCTTTTTGGGTCACACCCGGCGATGCTCAGGGATAATTCCTGGCTCTGCACTCAGGAATTGCTCCTGGCGGTGCTCGGGGGACCATATGGGATGCTGGGAATCGAACCTGGGTCGGCCATGTTGCCTGCGTGCAAGGCAAACGCCCTACCCGCTGTGCTATTGCTCCAGCCCCCCAACTAATCCTATTTTAAGAAAGAAACTAGCTCCAAGTAATAAAGCTAGACAAGGAGAATCACTAGTAGGAAAATAAAAATGATTCATAAAACACAGATTTGTGCCTCTTGACTTATAATATCCTTTTGACTCAGAGAGGCTACCAACTCTCTCTCTCTCTCTCTCTCTCTCTCTCTCTCTCTCTCTCTCTCTCTCTCTTAATTTTATTGAATCTCTCTCAGAGAGCCTGGCAAGCTCCCCGTGACATATTTGATATGCCAAACACAGTAACAAGAAGTCTCATAATGGAGATGTTACTGGCCCCACTCAAGCAAATCATGAACAACGGGAGGACAGTGCTACAGTTTAATTGAATCACTGTGAGATAGTTACAAGCTTTCATGTTTGGGTTACAATCACACAATGATCCAACCCCCATCCCTCCACCAGTGCACATTCCCCACCACCAATATCCCCCGTATACGCCCCACCCTTTCCCACCCTCCCCCTGCCTCCATGGCAGACAATCTCCCCCAGACTCTCTCTCTACTTTGGGGCATCGAGGTTTGCAATACAAACACTGAGAGGCCGTCACGTTGGGTCCTTGATCTACTCTCCGCACACATCTCCCATCCCGACCGATCCCTCCATCCCTCACTGACTCAGTGACCCCTTCTCTATTACAACTGCCTTCTCCCCTTTGCTCACGAGGCAGGCTTCCAGCCATGGACCAATCTTCCTGTCCTGTGTATCTATTATCCTTAGGCTACCGACTTTCTCGGGATGCAAACCCAGGCTAATTCCGAGCCAATACTCCTTGTCCACACAGATGTGGTCACAATAATACCAGCTGGGATTCTATCTGTTATAGAGATTAGAAGACATCTAGAAGGAGAGTCTGAGTTCATGCGTTAGGACGTTAGGAAGCCTTCCCCATGCAGAAGAGGCTTGGAACCGGCCTGTCAACATAGCTGTCAACGCTACCAACCAGTTCTGATTCTCCAACACAGAAAAATCTTGTGGGAAGGAGCTTCTCCCAGACTGTGACTGGCCTGGCACATCAGAACCCCAAACCCAAAACCCACGACCACAGAACCGAAGGCCGAAGAAAACAGACGGAAGCCCAGAACCGGCTTCACCAAAGTTCCACGGAAGACAGAAAATGAAGATCATGAATAAATGCACGGCCTGGTTCCCACCCACCCCGGAGGAGTTGGGGGTAATATCTGCACACCCCACATCTGAATGAGGGCAAAGGACCATGATTACAAAACAGGCCTGGAGGGGCTGGAGTGATAGCACAGCAGGTAGGGCGTTTGCCTTGCACGCAGTTGACCTAGGTTCAATTCTCGGCATCCCATAGGGTCCCCTGAGCACCACCAGGAGTGATCCCTGAGTGCAGAGCCAGGAGTCAGCCCTGAGCATCGTCAGGTGGGACCCAAAAGGCCAAAATAATAATAATAATAATAATAATAATAATAATATCGGGTCCATCACCCAGTTCAGCACCTTGATCAATATCTGATCCATCCATAGGGGCTGGAGCAATAGCACAGCAGGGAGGGCGTTGGCCTGGCACGTGGCCGACCCGGGTTCGATCCCCGGCATCCCACAGGATCCCCCGAGCACCGCCAGGAGTGATTCCTGAGTGCGGAACCAGGAGTCAGCCCTGAGCATCACTGGGTGTGACCCAAGAAGCAAAATAAAAATAATAATAATAATAATAATAATATCTAGTCCATCACCCAGTTCAGCATCTTGATCAATATCTGGTCCATCACCCAGTTCAGCACCTTGATCAATATCTGGTCCATCCATAGGGGCTGGAGCAACAGCACAGTGGGGAGGACGTTGGCCTGGCACGCGGCCGACCCGGGTTCGATCCCCGGCATCCCACAGGATCCCCCGAGCACTGCCAGGAGTGATTCCCGAGTGCGGAACCAGGAGCCAGCCCTGAGCACCGCCGGGGGTTGGCCCCAAAAGCAAAAATTAAAATAAACGAACAGGCCTGGAACACGCCATCGAAACGACCCTGTCAAAAAGAGCAGGGAGATTCTGCTCCCGCTCTGGGCAGGACACACATGAGGTGGCCACTTGAACCCCTCCCCAGAGTGGACGTCCGACCACACCCACCACCAGGAACGTGAACGTGGACCCTGGGCTCTGAGCATCCAGGGGGACCGTTGGACCCACACACGTGTCAGCCACAGCCGGTCACGACCCCCAAGGGGGACGTGTCGTGGCTTCAAGTTACAGGCAGGCGGGGACTGTGTGTGTCAGTGGCCAAGATTCAGGCTGTGAGGTCCTGGGTTCGATCCCTGATACCTCCCACCAAACAGAACAAATGAACAAGAGAGAGAGAGAGAGAGAGAGAGAGAGAGAGAGAGAGAGAGAGGGAGAGAGAGAGGCTGAACTAGAAAGTGATCCCCCGCGAATACGGGGTTCCAGAGAACGTCCCGGGCCAGGAGGGCAGGCAGGGAGGGCCCTGGGAGGCTGGTGCAGGAGAAGGGACTAAGTCACTGCATCTACTCCATCCTGCGTCCAGCCGGCCACGAGGCCTCCCTGCCCGTGACCCCCTCTGCATCCTCGTCTTCAGCCGCCGCGTGGCGGGCACTGGGCTCAGAGCTCCGGGAGGCCCCGACAGAGACCCGGGTCGTGGATTTCTCTGCCAGACCTGCCAGGAACAGGCATCCCCCCCCCCACACACACACCCCTCACCCGCACCCGCTCCACGCACCTGTTGTGACTGAGCGATGCACAGACGGATGCAGGTACCACGGTCTGCGGGCCTTCCCCCGCCAGCTCCGTGCCCACCAGGCAGATGAGCTGCAGCTCGGGAAGCCCCTCGCAGCGGACCTCGTGCCAGCCTTTACCTGCGGGGCCGCGTCAGAGGGTGGGGGAGAGGTTGGTGGAATCAGGGTCCACCTGCCCCCTATACACACACAGGCCTTCCCAGCCGGGACCAGCCCACCCTGGACACCCCCCAAGAGGCCCCATGGGAGGGAGGAGGCGCCACAGTGGGCCGGTCAGCAGTGGAGCCGGTCCTCCTCACGCTGTGGTCGGTGTTCTAGCCCAGCAGGGGAGGGTGTTGGCCTTGGCACGCAGCCGACCCGGGTTCGATCCCCAGCATCCCATAGGGTCCCCCGAGCACCGCCAGGGGTAATTCCTGAGTGCAGAGCCAGGAGAAAGCCCTGAGCATCACCAGGTAGGACCCAAAAAGCCAAATAATAATAATAATAATAATAAAATAACAACAACAAAACAACAATAATAATAAAGAGGGAAGAGGGCCGGAGCATTAGCACAGCAGGGAAGGCATTGGCCAACCCGGGTTCGATCCCCACATCCTCTAGGGTCCCCCGAGCACTGCCAGGAGTGATCCCTGAGTGCAGAGCCGGGAGTCAGCCCTGAGCATCGCCAGGTGGGACCCAAAAGGAGGGAGAAGGAGGAGGAGGAGGAGGAGGAGGAGAAGGAGGAGGAAGAGGAAGAAGAGGAAGAGGTAGAAGAAGAGGAGGAGGAAAAAGAAGGAGGAGGAAGAGGAGGAAGAGAAAGAGGAAGAAGAGGAGGAGGAGAAGGAGGAGGAAAAGGAGGAGGAGGAAGAAGGAGGAGGAGGAGGGGAGGAGGAAGGGGATGAGGAGGAGGAGGGGGAGGAGGAGGAGGAAGAGGAGAAAGAGAAGGAAGAGGTGAAAGAGGAGGAAGAGGAGGAGGAGTCATGGGACTGGACAGACTATCTGTCCAGCGGGGAGGGCATCTGCCTCACGTGGCAGACCCGGGTTCGATCCCTGACATACCAGAGGGTCCCCCGAGCCCCGCCAGGAGTATGTCCTGAGCACTGCCGGGTGTGAGGCCCCCCAACCCCAAACAAGGCTGTCTCCTGACCCCCTGCCCAGCCCGCCCCAGCACCGCCCTCAGCAAGGAGACACACACCGGGAACTTACTCTCCATGAGATCCAGGTACACCAGGAAGGCGGTGTACACCTGGGCGGCGTCTCCGATGCCCAGCTCCATCATTTCCACATACTGGAAAAGCGAAACGCAACGGTCAGTCGCAAAACACAACAGTCACTAGTGAAGAAAAAAACGCCCTGGGGAGCCACTGTTCGCCGTGGGACACCCCTGAGCCTCCGCAGGTGGAGAGGGGCTTTATGAGACTGGACAAGACCCACTTCCCGCTCTGCGGCATGGACACGGGCTCAGGGCGAGGACAGTGACCGGGAGGGACAAACTCCACAGCCACTGGGCCTGGGGACGTCCAGGACGGCCGTGGACCCCGGCCCCGGGCTGTCCCCGAGAGGCGAGACCGACGGGTGTCTGGAGACGGGAGAGGCAGCGGAAACGCCGACCCTGGGGGCTGAGTGGCAGCACAGCGGGGAGGGCGCTGGCCTGGCACGCGGCCGACCCGTTCGATCCCCGGCATCCCCGAGGGTCCCCCGAGCACCGCCAGGAGTGACCCCTGAATGCAAGTAACTCCTCCTGGGGAGCAATGAGACCACCCCCCGGAAGCTCCCTGGGCAGTTGAACTGCAGCAACGAGGGGTTATTATCAGAATCCACCTAACAGGGGTGTTATTGTGGCTGTTATTACTATTATTATATCATCATTATTATTACTACTATTATCCTTGGGCTGGAGCGATAGCACAGCGGGTAAGGCATTTGCCTTGCACGCGGCCGACAGGGCCGAGCCGGGTTCGATTCCCTCGCCCCTCTCGGAGAGCCCGGCAAGCTACCAAGAATATCTCACTCACGTGGCAAAGCCTGGCAAGCTCCCTGTGACGTATTCGATGTGCCAAACACAGTAACAACAAGTCTCACGATGGAGACGTTACTGGACCCGCTCGAGCAAATCGATGAACGGGAGGGGACTGCTATTATTATCATCATCATTATCACTACTATTATTACCATTATTATTATTAATAATAATTATAATAATCATTACTATGATTATCATTACCAGTCATCATTATTACTATTATTATCATTGTTACTGTTGTTATTATCACTATTACATCATCATTATTACTATTGCTACTACCATCATCATTGTCATTTTACTACTAGGCTGCTGACTGTCCCTGCTACCCTCAGCATCACTGTGACCATCACTACCATGCGGACTCTCACTGTTACCCCATCACCACTGTCATTATTACTACGACTACTACGATTGCTATCATCATTACCACTGTTATTACTACCATGAATCATTATTACTATTGTTATTACTATGATTACCATGGTAGGCTGTTTGCCTTGCGCGCAACCAGCCCGGCTGACCAGGGTTCGATTCTTCCGCTCCTCCCGGAGAGCCCGGCAAGCTACCGAGAGTATCTCGCCCCCAGCAAAGTCTGGCAAGCTACCCTTGGCGTATTCAAGATGCCAAACACAGTCACAACAAGTCTCAAGATGGAGACGTTACTGGGTCCGCTCGAGCAAAATCGATGAACAACAGGAGGACCGTGACAGTGATCGCTATTACTATCAGCATTGTTACTACGACTGTTACTATTATCCTCATCATGGTCATTATTAGTACTAAGCTTCCTATCACTGCTACCCGCTTCATCACTGTCACTGTGATTTACTACTAAGCCTACAATCACTGTGTCATTGTCATTAGTACTATGCTGACTCTCACTGTTATCCCACCATCAGCGTCCCTATTATTACTATGCTATTACTGTCATCCTCCGCACTGTCATTGTGACTACTATGCTGACGAGCACTGTGATCGTCACTGCCATTACTATGCCAATACTCTCACTGTTACTAGCATCATCACTGTCATTATGATTACTAGGCTGTCTCTGTCTTCCTCCTCACTGCCATCTTACTGCTGCTATGCTCAGTTATCAGTTTACCCTCTCCATCACTGTCACTGACTTCTACCACGCTATCACTGTCATCCTCATCATGGTCATTAGCAGTACCATGCTGACTCTCACCGTGACCCCACCGTCACTGCATCAGTCCTATGCTCACTGTCACCGAGACCCCACTGTCACTGCATCAGTCCTGTGCTCACTCTCACCGTGACCCCACCGTCACTGCATCAGTCCTATGCTCACTCTCACCGTGACCGCATGGTCACTGCATCAGTCCTATGCTGACTCTCACTCTGATCACGTGGTCCCTGCATGGGTCCTATGCTCACTCTCACTGTGACCCCACTGTCACTGCATCGGTCCTATGCTCACTCTGCGACCGCATGGTCACTGCATCAGTCCTACGCTCACTCGACCCCCTTCACCAAAGTCATTCTTATTCCTTTGCAATCGCTGTCCCCCTCCTCACCACTCCCACGCCCTCCTCCCCTCTCCCCCGCAGCACCTTGGGGTGGCTGCCCACCCAGGCGTCCGGGGCGCCCGAGGGTCCGGCCTGCTCCATGGGCGCCGTGTCCGCCGCCAGCCGCGTCCGCCCGGAAACCGGCCCCGCGCGCTCCGGGTTCCGGGCCGCGGTTCCGCCCGGGAAGGTTCCGAGCAGCCCCTCCCCCTCCCCCCCCACCCTCCCCCTCCGGGGCCCGCCCGGGGGTCTCGGGCCAGCGCGTGCCCCTCCCCTCCCGCCTGCCTGCAGACCCCGAGCTCGGCCCTGCGGGTGGACGCTGCGCCCAGCGGGGCGGGGTCGGGGGTGGGGTGGGAGGGGGTCCGGGTCCCGGCCCGGGTGGAGACCCGCCCCGGGGACCCCTGGGGACCCCTGCGCCCGTGTGCACCCGCCCCGCTGCGATTGCAACGCCCCGTTCCCTGCAGATCCGCCTCTTTGCAAGGCCCTCCCCACCCCCACCGCGGGGCCGGGTCTGGGTCTGGGGGCGCCAGGTGGGCAGAGGGGGGTCTGCTCCCCCGCCTGCAAACGTTAGCCATCCTGCCCCAAGCTGGGGGGCCAAGAGGGGTCTGTGGTTTGGGGACCCGAGGTCCCCAGGGCAGGCCTGCTTGCAGGGGACGCAGGTGGGCTGGTTCTGGAAGGTTCCCTGGGAGCAAGTAGGGGTGGGTCGTGGGGGCCGGGGTGCAAGGGAGAAGCCCTCCCCCCTAGTTTTCATAATTTAGGGAGGCAGGAACTGGAAAGATCAGGATCCTCCCCAAATGCAGTGTCTGCCCACGGGCACTGACAAGTTCTAACCCTTGGACACAGAAAGTATCTCAGTGCTGGACTGAGTATTCCCAGCTGGCCTGCAAGAGTTGGCAGTTCAAATCCCACCAACAGAGGGACCTGAGTGAGAGCACAGTGGGGAGGGTGTTGGCCTGGCATGCAGCTAACCCAGGTTCGATCCCCGGCATCCCCTAGGGTCCCCCGAACCCCGCCAGGAGTGATTCCTGAGTGCAGAGCCAGGAGTCAGCCCTGAGCATCGCCGGGTGGGACCCCAAAAGGCCAAAATAACAATAATAATAATAATAGCACTGTAGCACTGTCCTCCCATTATTCATCGATTTGCTTGAGTGGGCCTGATGTAGGCAGGTAGATAGGGAAAGGCTCTCTGCAATGGAACAAAGTCTCATAGAAGAAGAATTCTAGGACCGACCCACCCTGTGGAGACAGAAAACAAAGACTTGATAAGACATCCCCAGACCCTGAAGATATGGGCCTCCTCCCCATGAAATTCCTCCTTTCCGAGAACCCGCTTTCAATCCGGTTGACTCCAGCGACCCAGCCCCAAGGAGATTCCAGAACATTCTGAGTCGGAAGGATCTATAAGAACCAGCTCGAGAGCCCACTTGGCGCTCTCTCCACCCTCGGAGAAGCCCGCGTTCCCTCTGGACGCGTTACTCTCTCTTCCTCTCCATTCCCCCGCTTATCTGCTCATCCCTTCCTCTCCCTCTCCAAAAGCCTCCAAATAAAACCTGTTACTTCACTGCTCGTCTACTCCTGAAATTCTTTTCTGCGAGCGAGACAAGAACCCCAGAAACCCCGGGTGAGGCTTGGGACTGGTCCCTCCTTTCCTGCGAAGAGCAAATTCTCGCCCCAGCTTGAGTCCGTGGCTCCCCGAGCAATCGGGTGGCGGGGATTAACTCCCGTGCCGAGAAGACCAAGCGGACTTCAGGTGTGGCTTGACGGCCACCTCGTGGGGCTGGCGGGGCTCAGGCCCGTGCCGAGCAGGTGCTCACTGCAGACTTTACCGGTCCTAGCCCACCCAGGGTCCCGGGTGGCAGGGGCGGGTGGGGAGAAAGTGGCCGTCTTTCTCCTCCCCACTTCACATAAGTCACCCGTGGGGTCCACCGACATCAGGCCCAGTAATGTCTCCACCGTGAGGCTTGTTGTTACTGTGTTTGGCAAATTGAATACATCACGGGTAGCTTGCTGGGCTCTCCGAGAGGGGCGGAGGAATTGAATTCGGGTCAGCCAGGTCGGCCGCATGCTATCGCTCCAGCCCGTATAATAATAATAATAATAATAATAATAATAATAATAATATTCATGGAACTGGAGCGATAGTCCAGCAGGGAGGGCATTTGCCTGGCATGCGGCCGACCTGGGTTCGATCTCTGGCATCCCATAGGGTCCCCTAAGCACCGCCAGGAGTAATTCCTGAGTGCAGAGTCAAGAGTCAGCCCTGAGCATCGCCAGGTGGGACCCCAAAAGCAAAAAATAAATAAATAAATAAAAGTTAAAAGTATCATTTAAAAAAATCTACTTTAAAAAAAATAGAATGAAGTTGACTTTAATATTAAGAAAAGAAAACTTTTTATTTTTTTGGGGGGGGAGTGGGGGCTGAATGTGAAAACAAGAAAACAAATCCTAAAGTAGGCCCGAGTCATGGAGAGTGATGAAGAAATTAAAGGATCTAGGAGCACAGAATGAAAATCATTTTTTTTTTTTAATCTGGAGTGAACTGTTCCAGGGGAGAGGCTAGAATTTCAGCCTCAGGTAGATAGGGGTTTCCCCTTTTGTAAATGCTTCAATACTTGACTCTCCGAGTTCCCTGGTGGGTGGGGAAAGACGGGATAAGAAACAGTAATGAAAGGTCCCCCCAGCCCCCCTGATTTAATCAGACAGACCTAGCGTAATCTGGTACTTGCGCTACTATTTCCATTTTGGTTTCCTGAGCCAGAACCTTTCATTTCTATCAAGGGCAAGGGGAACTGTGTGTGTTGGGAGGGTGGGTGGGTGGGTGGGTGGGGGTTGGGAATCTGTCGTGCTAGACAGAGCCATTAATTCAGTGAGAATGCCCAGCGGGAAAAAAGAACCTTGAATCGTGATGGGAATGTTTTGCGTGTACCAGAATAGGCAAGGACCAAGGAAGGCTGGGAGCCGGGAACTGTGGTTGTGTGAGAAGTTGATCTCGTGGGGGGAGGGAGGGAGCAACTCTCTTGGCGGTTCCCTTGTTGGTGGGAAGAATGGATCAAAATATCTTGTTCCTGGGGCTGGAGAGATAGCACAGCGGGTAGGGCGTTTGCACGCGGCGACCCGGGTTCGATTCCCAGCATCCCATAGGGTCCCCTGAGCACCGCCAGGAGTGACTCCTGAGTGCAGAGCCAGGAGGAACCCCTGTGCATCGCCAGGTGTGACCCAAAAAGCAAAAAAAAAAAAATCTTGTTCCTTTGTCCCCAAAATACCTCTTTTGCCATGCGTGCTCGGAGGAACTCACCGCAAACTCCGTGTTTGCACGCGGAGTGCAGTATTTGCAAGGCTTCCCCGCGCCACTCTTTGTGGGAGTTCAAGGCTATCATGTAGACTCATGCCACAGTGCTCTCTGCCAGCCCTTATTCACTTAGGCGTGCAGGCTGATTGCCCCCACTGGATAAATCAGGAGACTGTATATTTCCTTTTATTTATTTATATTTTATTTAATTTATATTTTTTTAATTTTTTGGGTCACCCAAGGGTTCCCCCTGGCTCTGCACTCAGGAATCGCTCCTCAGGGGACCCTATGAGATGCTGGGAATTGAACCCGGGTCGGCCGTGTGCAAGGCCAACACCCTCCCCGTTGTGCTATCACCCCTGTATTTCTTTTTTAAAAAAAGATTTTTGGGGAGCCCAGGGGGATGGCACGGGGTTGCACGGGTGCATACACAAAGCACCCCAGTTCAATCCCAACCCTGTGATCTCCTGAGCGTTGCTGGCCGTAACCCTCCTAGCCCCAAGCACCCAAGGGCCCTACATTGATCCATCAGCCCATTGGTTGAGTATAATTGGGACTGGACCCCTAAGCACTGTTTGGGAAGCTTCCAAAAATACTTTCACTTTTACAGTTGTGTGTGTGTGTGCACCCACATTCATTATGATTTATTTATACAGTTATAAATTTACATAACCATCGTTTACTGAAATCTAACATTTTCAGGGCAGGCTGGGAGGCTGGAGGCCGAAGGAAAAGCTCACGGTTGGTCCTGTGTGGCAAAGAAAAATCTCTGAAGACCTTCAACTGATTGGACAAGGCCCACCCAACCTATAGGTACTCATTTTACTGAGTCTACATATGAATAGATCTCTGTTAATCTCCGCACCCTGCCCCATATAAACTCAAAAAAGGGGCACAGCACAGTGGTGGTGGCTTAACTCTCCCGCTGCCCGCCTTTGGTAGTCTCACGCCGCTTCCCCCACCCCAGGGAGGTCGATGCCGATGGGCAGGCAAGGGAAAGAACGAGGGCCAGGCTGGTTGGTCTTAGTCGCAGTTTATTCCAATCCTCTATCCAGCCACACCAGTCTCTCTCCTCTGCCTCTGCCTCCTGCTTCTTCCTCCCCCATGCTACTTCATTCTCCTTCTCCATCCCCCTTCATCCTCCTTCTGATCCCACAGCCCACTCTTACAGTACAGTTAAATCCCAAAGCATGAGGGGTTGGGGTAATCATTACACATTGGTGTGGTCACAATCACTAGGGGTAGAAATCTTAGCCTCAGGGAAAGTCGCTCCTAAGACAGATCCTCTCTCAGCAGGAGGACCCACCCTAGAGCGGAATCCCAAGGGTGTGTCTCTCCTCTCCTTGTCCGACAAGCATATAAGCATATAATATAAATCATTTTGTATGGATACAGTAAGAAATAAACTTATAGAATTGCCCTCCTTCGGCCATCTCGATCTCAGACTACAGTGCTCAGGCCAGATAGTCTTTCCCACCCCTAGCAGGATCCTAGTCTCGTCGTTACCTTTGGATCATGACAGCATTTGTCTATGATCAAACTCTTATAGTTAAGAATCGTGGCAATTTGGCCTGCCCCATTTCGCTGCCAGGGTAGCTCACCGCTTGCCCTGGGTCCATTCAGTCCCTCGTCGGGACCCTGCTTTTGGGGTGTTAGGAACTAAGGGCAACTGAGGTTTAAGTCGAGAAAGCAGATGCCCGGGAGTGAATAATATTCAAAGCCAATCAAATCCTAAGTTACAAAGCATGATGTTAACGGTCTTCCTGTATCTATACAAAAAGGATATTACTTTAAGGTAAACTGTTCATAAGGCATAAGGAGAG